CTCTATGAGGTGGATTGATTCAGTGACTGGGGTACTCGGGATGGGTATGTCAGGGGCAATGAGATTGGCACAGGATAGAGCACGGTTTAGGGCTGCTGTACATAGGGTCGCTATGAGTTGCAAACGACTTGATGGCACATAACAACAACAACAACATTAAAAATCCACACTTAGTCCAAAAACTTTATTTGTATAATGATAGGGAAATAAAGTCACCCACTCAAATGTGAATAACTGACAGGGAAAACAACTAATGTCATAGTGGTTCTCAGACTGGACCAGGCACAGTCGTTGTATACCGTACAGTATACAGAACAGACCCACTGGCGACCTTCGGGTTATTAGTGGCCCTTCTGTCTCCCGCGGGCCAGTGGTGGATTCAAACCTCTTGCCTTTACGATGGCAGCACATCTATTACACCACCAGAGATCAACTAGGCATTAGAATCACATTTAGAACACAAAAAAACCAAAACAAAAAAACCCGCAAAAACTAAAAACCAGTCAACCAAAACTCAAACTCACTGCTCTCCAGTCTGAACTAAATTACAACAGCTAAAGCTCCAGCAGATTTTCAGAGTCTGTAAATCTCAAGGGAAAGTGCTCTGGTGCTCTACTGTGTAAGGAGCTCTACTACCAACCCAGCGGCAGGTGGTTCGAATCCACCAGCTGCTTTCCAGCAAGACGGGCAAACTTCTCCCGTGTGATTTATAGCTCTGAAAACACGTAAGGGGCTCAGTCAGCTATGAGTCGCTTCTGACTCCATGGCATATACCACCACCACCAAATCGCGCGGAGGACACTATCCATCTTGCTTCTAAGGAGCAACTAGTGAATCAGAACTGCCTGCCTTTGGGTTGGCAGCACAACAGTTACCAATACTGCAGAGCCAACTCTGACTCTGGACAACTCTGTGTATAAAAGTGGAACTCTGCCCCACAGGATGTTCAGTGGCTGCTTTTCCAATAGCAGACCTCTCTTCCTAATGTGCCTATGGATAGACCTCCAGTCTTTTGTAATCTGAGACTCCCTTTTAAAATCTGAGACTAAATTATCAGACTGCTCTGAAGTTTGAGGTCTGAATGGTCTACTTTATAAGTGGTGTTGGAGAGACAAACCTGACGGTACTTCAACTTACACACGTTGAGGAGTCTTAAAAAAATCCAGTAAGTCAAAACAATATAGCTATAAAGACAGGAGTCAGGATGTAAAGATAGGAGTGATTTCCCTTTAATAACAGCAAAACTTACAGTAGTGGTCCTTGGACTCTCTGTAGCAATGGGCTCTCCTTGACTGGTGTTCAGATGATGGCCTGTCATAAAATTCCCAACCTAGAGAGCCACCACTAATAATGAAAAGTAGCACGGTGTTACTCAATTGTGATCCACAGAGAGGCCCAAGAACTCTTTGTACTTTA